TTGACCGTGTGACGCGAGGAAGGATTTTGCCGGGCGGTGTATTGATCGATCTGTGAAAATCCTTCCTGTAAAGCCCAGTCATTCCATCTCGGTTCCACATTTCGTGAATTTTACGTTCCATTCACCAAACCTCATCCGCCTCACATACATATAGACATTTGACGTTCCACTCCCCTTGTATATTTACCCATCAATCCTACCAGTTGACTTTGTTTGTTTATCTGCTTCAATTTTTATCCTACTTGTTTTAATCGCGACTTGAGCGCTCACATTTGGCTCGTTCGTGTGCAGCGTGACGGTGAGCGTGCTTTTCTTACCCAGGCTCATTTACTTCCATTCAGATTTGTTGAATTGCGCTCACAGTAACACTTGGCTCTTGTTTTCAAGTTGTTTTGAGATCACTTTGAGGTTTGTACAGATTTTATTTGCTTATTCGATTGTTTAATAATGCAGTACCGTAGAAATTTGCCGGATCATTCGTTTTATTGACGTTTTGGGATCCAATTTCGGCTACGCGTCGCTCGTTGATCTATTTGGGAGTTACAGTGACTACAGAGCACTTAACAATTCCACCACACCCGACAGATACCCCATTCCACATATACATGACTTTGCACTCACTCAGCATTCAATACAATTTTTTCTAAAATCGATCTTGTGCGTGCACACTATCACAACTCCGTGGCTGAATCAGACATCCCCAAAACAGCAGTCACAACCCCATTCCGTATGTTCGAATTTTTACGAATGCCTTTTGGTTTACGTAACGCAGCACAAACTGTTCAACGTTTTATGGACCAAGTAACTCGAGGTCTTGACTTTGTCTTTGTTAAATCTTTTTGGGTTTTATAATTACTTTCGTCATTTTATCCCCAATTGTTCCGCTATATTTCATCCTCTCACTCATTCGCTCTGCGGTAATGAAAAAGACGTTGTCTACACTCCTGAGGCGTTTGACACCACCAAATCAACCCTCTAGGACGCCACCATGTTGTTCCACCTCAATTCATCTTCATCCACTCAATTGGTGCTGCATACCGAGGTGTCGAATTATGCCGTTGGAGCGGCACTTCATCACTTGGTCGAAAATGTCCAGCAGCCCATGACTTTCTATTCACAGAAGCTTTCCCCATCCCAAACTAATTACAGCACCTTTGGTCGCGAATTACTGGAAGTATACCTTGCCATACGACATTTTTTCCACCTCCTGGAAAGTCGTCACTTCACCATCATGACAGACCACAAACCACTGGTGTTTGTTTTCCGTGCACGTTCTGATCGTTACTCTCCGCGCGAAATTCGTCACCTAGATTTCATCTCTCAATTTTCCACCGACATTCGACACATCAACTGACCGGACAACACCGTCGCAGACGCTCTCTCTCAGCTAAACATCAACAGTATGATAAAACCATCCGATATCAGCCTTGCGACCGTTTCTCAACATCAATCCAGTGACCCACGTTTCGGAGACCTACTCAAATTCACCTCCGAGTGTTGCTGAAGCATTACGCAATCATTATCAGTTATCGTCAGGCGGTCCGTTAACTGTCGCAGTCATCCATTTCCGCTCCACCGCACCTCCTCAATCGAAGCCACACATCTGAAGAACAGGATCAATCAACCAGCCGGACAATCCTTCCGTGAGTCCGTTCCTTGTACCCTTTTATTTCATTATCATTTATATATGTAGTGTCTTTTCCACTACACACTATAGTTTTGTACAACGGTACAAAAACCTCGGTTCTTCTGCAACTTACAACAGCGCACAACCTCAAAAGTTCGTATCGAGCTTTATTAGCTGCACGCTTGCACTGCAGGGATGGCCTGAATTCGTTCGTGATCA